CCAGTAAACACGAACAAGTCCACTGACCTCAAATCATATAGAGACATATATATGTCCAAAACTTATAGCCAGTAACAATTCTGAGCGCAACATTCCACGCATTCAAGGTTCCACCTCAGCTTTAGGGCTTCAACACAAGGATTAAAAGAAGGGAAGACAGCCATCAGTGAAATTGCAAAGGAATTTAGAGGTAGACATCACCTCAGCACATTTTCCAGCTAGTCAGTCTGATCATCACAATCAGCTCTCTAAGCTCCCTGAAATTCCTATTAATTGGGTTTTGGCTGCGTTCAGAGACAGTTCATACTCACTCAGTTGATGTTAAACTGTTAGAAGCTGCCTTCCTGCGGAGTCATTGGAAGGGCAGCACGGCATCATCAAAGTTTTCCTGACAGAAATGTGCCACAGTGGGTTCTGAAATACTGTTAACAAAGCTGTTTCAGTAGATGTTTGTCACTTTTTTAATCTGTTAGAAGCATTAGAAAGAGACGCAAGTGAAGGTGGGATATTGCATCAGGGCCACAGAGCTGTGAAGAAACAGAATGATCTTGTTTTTCCCGACACTAAGCCTACAAACATAAGTGAGACACACTTTTTAGGGTGAGTGGTGAGTAGATGTGGCTGTGATGTTAACTTATGCTGTGCTGGATTTTAACTTTTAATAACAATACAACTACAGTTCTGCTTCTTTTCAACTGAGCTGACACTGGATGAAGTGTTCTTCTGTTCACAAGCTCCTGGAAGCTGACTGTAGTGTGTGTTTGTCAGGAGACGCTGGAGGTGGATGAGGACGACCGTCCCGAGCTGGCGTGGTGGAAGTGTAAGAAGTGGGCGCTGCGCATCATCACCAGGATGTTTGAGCGGTGAGTCCACAGCTGCTCTCACATCACCAGGAAGCAGGTTTGGAGTTAAGAGACAGTCGTTGCCAAACATTTTCATGCTTTTGGTTTGAATTGCAGGTATGGAAGCCCTGGAAATGTGACAAAAGAGTACTATGAGTTTGCAGATTTCTTCCTGAAGACATATGCAGTGGGCATACAGCAGGTATGCATGTGTGACTGATGAAGAGTGTGTCAGTGGCAGTTAGTAGATTACAGTTATTTAATTACACCATAACCAGAAGTTCTTGGAAGAGGTTTATTATAATGGATGAACTAGGTGTTCCTGACGCAGTATCCCTGGATCAGTTCTGGCTCAGGGTGATTTGCTGTATGTCAACCTCATCTATACTCTTTATCTTTCACTGTCTGTCTACAAAAGGCAACAATACCGAATCATAATGTTTATAATCTGTTTAAAAAATAGTAGCAGAGGTGTTTGCCTGTTTGTCCAGGATCCAGTCACACAGTTACCGATGTAGCACAAAGATCTGGGCCTCTGGTGGTCAGAAGGGGCTCTGTTACCCTTTTAATAAATCCGATGTGGAGTTTATCCGTTGCATCAGTAATAGTTTTTTGAAAACATAGTTTTGCATGTAATTTCCAACTTTTAAAGTTACTAGGATGAGAAAATGACAACTAAAAAACAAAATGTGATCAAGATTGAATCAGAACAAACTCAAAAAAAATCCATGAAGTCTCAGCAGACTAAATCCTAAATCCTTAGAGTAACTGAGTCTGTGTTCTGCTGGCCTTCAAACAGAGCCTCTGGAAACCCTTCGTTGGGTCTTCGATGTCTGTGAATGGTTTTCAGTTTTCAGCAATACCGTCTTTAACATATTATAACATTTCCCACATGATTGACATACCTTAAACACTTTGAACTTGAGCTTTGATGCACCACTTTATAGCCAAGTACCCTCGTTTGTCCATCTCCTCTTGCAAAGACCACAGACTTTGTGCTGAGCTGGGGTGAAAAGGCCTGCTAGAATGAGCTTAATCTGTATTTTATAAGCCATATCATGTCAGCATTAATTCATTACGGTGATTTCATCTGTGCCATCATCCCTCTAATTTAACAACCTCTAATTATGGGACCACGGTGATGTAATATTCAGCAAAACATTGACGTGTGCCAGGACTGTATTATAGTGCTGAATTTGTCGCATGCCGCTACAAATGGCTGCTGACGTCTGGTTTAGGTTTCCTGTTATCTGACGGTTTTGGTTCGGCTGTTTACCCGTTTTGTGGTGTGTTAACCATCCAGGTCCTGCTGAAAGTGGTGGGTCAGCACCGGCAGAAGCAGTACGTTACCCCTCGCGTCCTGCAGCAGTGCCTCAACTACCTCAACCAGGGCCTGTCGCACTCACTGACCTGGAAACAGATGAAGCCACACATGCAGGTAAGATAGGCACAGAGGAATCAGGTTATTGGTCAGATTTGGTACGGCTCAGATCCTATGACCCATCGGTGACTGTCAGCATACACAGTGTCAACCTAAGAAAGGCTGAATGAAGGTTTTGTTAATTTTTAATTTTTTTTTTTTTTGTGTTTTTAATTACTAACAGTATATTTTCATATCTAGCCCTGCTTTAGCGTATTAATTACTAGTTTTGCTGGTCCTAACATTTTTGGGTCTATAATAATTCCTTTGATCATTTAAAGCTGTTTTATCTGATTTGAAATTTAAGAATGTGTGTATCTGTTATATAATGTATAATTTTAACATTTATTTTGTTTTGAGCAGCTCTTTTTGGGGGGATTTTATGGCTTGTGCAGGTATAGATCCACAAGTGGGATGTTTGCCGTCTACTTTGTACTTTTTCTGGACCTTCAGAAAGTACTGCCACTAGAGCACGGACTTTTGGGACGCTAAACTATTTCACCAGAACTTCACGTAGACCCTTGTTCCTCTGGTGTTTACACTCAAACGATTCCTGCTCCCCGGCTCATTTAGTCATCTGCGTATGAGTCAAACTCATGTAAAAGTGTTTACCACTGAGCAACAATGTCACCTCATTGTTAAATACCTGGAAGCTGATTAAAAGTTGATCTTTAATTTGCTTAAGAATCTGACAGATCAAATTGGTGACTTGTCATCGATCTTCACCAAGCTTAGACGGATTCAAACTTTACTCCATCTCCATTTTTCTCACACTCTTTTTGTAACTGATAGTTGTTTTCGACCCTCCCTTAAATCCTGTGAGGTAATGAGGACGTTCATCTCTTGCAGACCATTTGTCAGGAGGTCATCTTCCCTCTCATGTGCTACAAAGACGAGGATGAGAAGCTGTGGCAGGAGGACCCCTATGAGTACATCCGCATGAAGTTCAGTGAGTGATCAAACATCCTGCTCTCATAATACATCTTTAAAAATCTCATCTGGTTAAATATCTGTGAAGTCACTCAGCTGGCATTCTGCTCATTCATACCTGCTACCAACCTTGCTGCCAGCAGATAAGTCATGGCAGGATTGTGCATGCCTTTTGTACAGGGTTACTGTGACGATCAGCTGTAGGATGGTAATGTGTGGAACGTTATTCGAGTACCGGACGAGGCACAGAAATGGAGGGGCCTTATTCATTTGTAAACTCCCACTTCAACGTCAGCCTTTCAGCTCCGTTGTATTAAGGGGTGGAGGAAGGATGTCCACCAGGTTTTGGGTGTGTTGTTTGCTCACATTCTATTTGTGTGTGTCTCTGTTCCAGACCTCTATGATGACCACGCCCTCCCAGCCACCGCTGCCCAGAGTCTCCTGTGTAAAGCCGCCCGCAAGAGGAAGGAGGTGAGGAGGAGCGTTTTAGTCCAGAGGAACCGCAGTTTGCTGGCTTGGTTCTTTACTTGATTTTGTCCATTTAGGGATGCTTTGCACTTTGTTGGAACAAAGATTTGTCCTTTTATACCTCATTCTGTTTTCCTGCCTTTTTACAGTTGTATCTATTGTTAATGCTTTATCGTCTAGATTTCATATAAAGCTGCTCTCATTTGTTATACTCACATTGGCTCAAATGATTATATAATTATCACTAACTCTGCAGTTGTCTTCAGCTCTGTGGAGCTTTTTAGCCTACTTTAGCTCATTGTTTTGGTTTTCTGACCTGCATCCTGCCAGCAACTTAATTCAGTTCAATTCAGTTTTATTTGTATAGCGCAGTACATCCCAAAACAGAGCTCAAGGCCGAGTGAATAGTGGACGTATATTTTCAGGTGACTAATTATATGATGGCAAATGAATAGAAATATTGCTTTTTGTCTACTGGATAATTAATGCTGCAGCGTGGGACTTCCAAACCCTGACCAATGTAGATTAAGCCTATCAGTGCCAGGTAAATCTTTCTGTGTATCGCAGTATACCAGAGTTTAAATGTGGTTATGTTTTCAGATAGTCAGCAGTAATTGATTTGTCAAAGCTGAAGAGGGGAGCAGCTACAACAACAGATAGAACCTATGGAGAAAAAGCATCCAAGAAAAGTTTCAGATGCCCAAGATAAGAAAAAAAAAAAAAAAGAATATTGATTTTTAGCGGAAGGATGACAGCCTAAAAAAAAAGATGCAATCAACGGTGAGGCACAAACACTCAGTGTGACAGTGTTTGTGTAATTATTCTTAATGCCGGGTGGGACTGCTTGCTAACACATATCAGCTTTATCACGTAGTTTATGAGGTTTGGACTTGAAGCTGTTACAAGTCTGGAGACTTCAGCCTCGTCGGACGGGGAGTTGTGTTCTGCCGTGCGTGTGAACAAGCAGACAGCAGACGAGACCTGAGACAGTCGCATCCAAATGTAAAGACTGTGCTGTAGTCAACAAACAAGCAGAAATAATCAAAACATGCAGCTCAATAGTCACACACAGAGTTTCAGTAGCTTCCAGCGATGTTAAACATCTGAGGCTACAAAAAGAACAGATCAGCATCAGTCCTCTTTACAGCTTAAACTGAAGTTAACAAAGGTACAGCATTATGTTGGCGTTGAGTAAAATTAATAAACTCCCACAACAGTGTGCTGTTTTAACATCTCAGTGGCTTGGTTCGACGTCTGTTATGAGATGATGGTATGTATTTATTGTGTTTTCAGCTTGTTCTGCTGCCACCAAATGGCACAAAAACTTTGTCACCCAGCTTTAGGCTCAAAGTGTAGGACTTTAAGCATGTTCTTTATCTTATAAACGCATTCAGCTGTGTCTCTTAAATACACCAGGACAATAAGCTGTGATTCCTGCATTCACCTGTTCTACATGTGACCTACAACCTGTGCTTTCTTCTTGGTAGGTTCTTCCTCAGATGATGGAGTTCTGCCACCAGATCTTAATGGACCCCTCTGCTGATCCCCGCAAGAAGGACGGAGCGCTGCACTGCATCGGAGCTCTGGCTGAGCTCCTACTCAAAGTAAACACAGACACTCCCCTGTGTGGCATTTAATTTGGGAAAAGACTGGATGGAGCCATTGAAGTAGTTTCAATGTGTTTTAATCGACTTTGGGAATTGCTGTGTCTGTGTATGTTTCATCCCTCAGAAGCGAATGTACAGGGAGCAGATGGAGCTGATGCTGCAAAACTACGTCTTCCCTCTGCTGAACTCTCCCATGGGTTACCTGCGGGCCAGGGTGAGTGAACCCTCCACACAGCGCTCTGTCATGTTCAGTTCAAGAGTACAGTTTTATGTTTTGGCACAGCTGGCAAGATGACGTGTTTGGTTGCATTTTTTGAATTAAAAAGAAGAAACCAGAAACCCTTAAGCAAACAGACATTACAAATTGATGTTTCTACAAATGTTAATGTGCTGTTGCTTCTCATTTCATGAACTTAAAACATAGCAATCAGTAATTATGGCATGTAAAAAACTTTGGACAGGTCAGGAATTTTCAGCCAATGATCCCACAGAGCTGATGTGTGTCTGACCTTTTACACCTTGTGGTAGCACTTTGCAACCGTGGGCTCCTTTTAACACTGGAGCTAACAGATGCCTACAAAGCAGGGGAAGGCTATCAAAGGTCATAAAGAATAGTGATGAACAATGATAAAATATGGAAGTCAAGACAAGATGTGGAAGATAAAACTACATGTTTATGTGGGTAGAAAAGCCCAGAGGAGCTGCACAGATGTTAGGCTGATCTACAAGTGGCCGTGCTCTGTTCCACTCATGCAGTCTAATGGAAGAGAAACCTTATCTGCCACCTCATCCCCAAAAGTCTGAAGTCTGCAATGCAACCTCTCGGTACGATAGAGGAGTTTAGGAACTAAGTGCCATGAACAGATCACGTTTGAACTTAGCTCTTTGGCTGCAGTCACCAAACGTAGGCTTCGGAAAGAAGAAAAAATGCGTTCCACAAAATATGAGCAAATCTTGCCATCAGTCAAGAAAGTAAAACTGTGAAGGTGCTCGTTCCTACAGTGGGACAATGATCCAAAGCAGACCTTAAAGTACCCAGAGATACTAAAACAAATACAAGACTGAGCTGTTGTAGTGGTCCCCACCGACTCCTGACCCCAACACCACAGAAAACTTGTGATCTTTTAATGTCAGCCAATTCAGGGCTACCAAGTATTCATTGTGGTATGTAGCTTGTATGTACATTTAGTGTAACCTGTTTTTCTTCTGTCTTTTTGTCATTAGTCTGGGGTTACTATCAATGTAAGGGCTCAACAGGTACAGGATTTCTAAAACTGTGCTGTACTGATACTAATGCCTATGCTTAGTGCAGATAGATAACCCATATGTTCATACATTTGCAGTAGAAATAAAAACAGTCGCACATCCCAGAGAAAGATTCTTTCCTCTGGAAAATGCTTTAAACCTGTAGTGTGTTTGAACATCCCAGAAACCTGCTAAATATGACTCCTCTGCTGCTGCTGAGGTGTGGGTCAGTGTATCAGTGCAGGGAACCGCAGTTATTTCCTCATACTGGAATCCTTTTGATGCTGACAGCAATTCCACTGCTGGCAGACATCCCGTGCTGTGAATGTCAATATTTTATACAACTTTCATTTCAAAGCACCGCACCAGAATAGTCCGAGCTGACCGCTGACTCACATGAGTCAGTGACCAGATGATTGTATCTGATCACGCTTATCTAGCACTTTGCAGCTGAGCTATTTGAGCTTTTATTTGATTGACCTGTCGTTGTAGCTAATGATTACATTCCCTTCTGTAATTGTGATGAATGACATTTATGTTAACAGTGAGTTTAAGTGAAATTTAATCACCTAAAGCAGATGAATTTGTCCTTTTTTAATGGACCTGCTGACTTTACTGATTACTAGACTGCCACTGAACAGAGGATAAGTGGTGTATAGATAATGGATGGATGGATGTGGACTTATACGTCTTCTGACCTCCTGCTCTTCTATGCACCTACAATACAAGATGTGCTAATGAGTTTATAGTTGGTGTTATGAATTTTCAGTTTTATTTTGTCATCTAATCAGATAGACAGCCTAAATGTGTTACCGTCTGACCATGTGACACATGACAGCAAGTGACCATTCAAGATATGCACGACATTTCAACTGCTTTGTCAGTTACGTATTTTAACTGCTTCGACCTCTTCCACCTCCACTGATATTTCACTGCTCCCACGGTTTAGACATTGACTGATGTCAATTAATCTGCAACTGTCGTCATATTAATTTAAATAAATGTAAAAGTCGAAAACTAATCGACTGTTCGATATATAGCCACAGTATTTGGAAACAGAGCAGGCTGAAATCATCGGGAATTATCCTTTGACATTCAAATTTTTTACACTGCACCTGACACTTCAACTCTTCCCAGTGCTTAAGCAGACTTATACTCTCTCTGAAGTGCCAGTCAGATGGTCAGATTGTGTCATATACTCACAGCTTTATGATTCTGGATTAATTGTGTCTCTGTCCATCAATTCCTGAAGCTCTCCAAAACACCAACAGTGCGACATTCACACACGTCTCACGCTGTGATTGTGGAGGTGACAGAGCAGCCAGGCTTTGTGCTTATCTTTCGAGTGCACTTTTTTCATTTGTCGCTCAACTGTTTGTTACACTTAGCATCAAAACGTTATGCAGCACTATGGAGGTCGCTTCACACCACGCTCCAGTGTGGCTGTTCTACATGACTACAAACACATCCATCCATCATCTATAAACCGCTTAATCCTCACTAGGGTCGTGGGGGGCTGGAGTCTATCTCAGCTGTAACCAGTCTATCACAGGGCTACACTTAGAGACAGACAACCAAGCACACTCACATTCACACCTACGGACAGAGAAAACATGCACAACTCCACGCAGAAAGATCCCAGGCTGGGATTCGAACCCAGGACCTTCTAGCTGTGAGGCGATCGTGCCACCATGCTGCTCCTACAAACACGTTTGATGTCCACATCTTCAGAACCACTTCTTAGAGACCTAAAACCAACCATTAGACCTGAACAGACACTTCAAACTGTTTATCTGCCTTCACTTCAGCTGCTTTACACATCACAGGCAACAGTTATTATTTTAAGACGCTCTCTTTTAGGCCTTTGTGCCGTCATTTGACAGTTTGTGAAGATGAAAACAAGGAATCTGAGGAGAGAACGGGAGTCTGACCGCATTTGAGCCTGCAGTGTTGTGTTTATGTGGTGTTTTTGGCTTCTATTTTAATTAGCTTCAGTAAAATATCTTTTCCAAGTTACTTTGATGTTTTGTTGGGCTAATTTCACTTTTTGAATTTTGTTGTAGAATGAAGATGTTTGGATGTAGAAACATGTAATGAGGTTCGACATAAGAGTAATGGACCACTAGATGGGAAAAACAAATATGCGTGCACTAAATATAACAAAGGAAAATAACTGTGAGACAAAAAGAAGTCATGTCAGGCTGTTACACTGCAGTCTGTTCAGCAGATGGCGCCACACTAAAGCTGAAAAGTCCCATTATGCTCGTGTCACACACAGTCTTCACTTGTGTGCCTCATTCATGCACTTTTTGTTGAAGCCTGAAGATACTCTGCGTGAGCATCGTAACACAAGGAGTATTATTTTGGTTGTTAAAATACATTTCGATGGAGGAATTGTTCCTGTTTTACTGCTTTAACTCTTTGACTGGCTCTCCTTCCTACAGTCCTGCTGGGTGTTCCGTTTTGTCAACGTGAGTCAGTGAATCAGCGTCTAGCACTGCAGATTTCTTAGTCATCACAGACACACTTGGTGGGGGCATCACTGATAGGGGCGGTGGACAGTTGTGGTGGTTTCAGAGGTGAAATGTGTGTGTGTGTGTGATGGTAACACCTGTGTTTCTCTGCTGTGTTCTGCCAGTCGTGCTGGGTGCTGCACTGCTTCAGCCCGCTGCGCTTCCACGACGAGCTGGTGCTAAGAAACGCCGTGGAGTTGGTTAAACAGGATCTGATAGATGACAAAGAGATGCCTGTCAAGGTGGAGGCCGCCATCGCTCTGCAGACGCTGGTCAGCAACCAGGAACAAGGTCTGTGGAGGAACAATGATGTCATGTGTTGAAGGTCAAACTAGTGCCAGATGCTTTAACCCAGACACAGGCCGTTTCAGAGGCCCGCCAGCAAGTGGATCCAGCCCTCACCTCCAGCTTGTGATAGCTGCTTGTAGAAATAGGACTTCACATTTGTTTCTCTGTGAAGTGAGCACACCGCAGTCTTTACACCACATGCTGTGCTCTGTCCGTGTGTTTGTGTGTGTGTGTAGCCAAGCTGTACATCCAGCCGTACATTCGGCCAGTCATGCAGGAGCTGCTGCACGTGGTCAAAGAGACGGAAAATGATGACCTGACCAATGTCATTCAGAAGATGATCTGCGAGTACAACCAGGAGGTAGCAGCCATCGCTGTGGACATGACGCAAAACCTGGTATTGACACCACACACACACACTTTTCTATCAATTTCATATGTGGCAAGACCTTTAGCAGTCATCATTCTATTACCTCACAGGGTTATGGTCAGGTTAGGCTTAGCTTTTGTTTAAGTTGAGCTTTGTGTTATGGAAATGAATGTAAGTCGAGGCGATGTCCTCTGAAGTGATGGAAAAACGTGTGTGTTTGACAGGCAGAGATCTTCACCAGGGTCCTTCAGAGTGAGGAGTATGAGGAGAACGAGGACAAGACGGTCATGGCTCTTGGCATCCTGAGCACCATCGACACCATCCTCACCGTCATGGAGGACCACAAGGAGGTGACACACACACACACACACACACACCATATTCAGACCTGTAGCTGAGAGCATTCTAACTTGCCGTCACAGTACTGAAATGTAGTGAGATTCTTTTCTTCTTCTCGTCTCTCAGATCACTCAGCAGCTGGAGGGGATCTGTTTGCAGGTGATCGGCCTGGTCTTACAGAAGCCCATCATAGGTATGGCAGGTGTGTGTGCACGAGCAGTCCAGTGTCTTATTTTCCTTTTTCCCCCCACTGTTTTATAACACACACACACACACACACACACACACGCTGTTTTAACATTTTGATTCTCTCACTTTGTCCTGACACATGCAGCTATTTATTTTCCCAGGGTTCATGACTTGATTTGCTTCTTGTCGTATGGTTTATTCCTGCTCCTTTTCCTTCACAGAGCCTCTGTGCTTTTGAGATCAAAGGTAGTCTTCTCGAGACACACAGGTGTAATTCTGGGGATGTTAGGTAAAGGTTCCTAAAGGGACACTTTCAAAACTGGAGTTTTGGGGTTACTCTATGACAAGAGCCGAAGGATCCACATCTGGTGACGGAGTGGAGAGTCCCAGGGCACCGCTGCTGCTGAGGGCAAGGAAGCAGCCGTGGCAGTGGTCGTCTGCTTTATGGTCACAGTTCTTGCCAGCAAAGCTATTTGTGCTTTAAAGCTTGAGCTGTTAGAAGGAAGTCAGTTGATGTGACGAACACAACAGTTTCTATTTCTGAATTTTCCTTTCAGTTTTTAATCTTTGTTGGAGTTTCTGGATTCTCACTCTGCTCTGCTTATTTAAGCAGAGGGTTATTATATTTCCTTATCCATAGAGCCCAAGGTTGTTGTGGTTTGGCCTTACAGTTTTGCAGTCAGCTGTCACTGACTGAATTTGAGGATGTTTTATCAGGCGGAAATTTCAAGTAGTAGCTGCAGGCTTAAGGGGGTTTAACTACTTCAAAAACTAGCTTTGCAAATGTTTCACGAGATAGGAAATGAATTTACTGTTTGTTTCAGCTCAGGGATACACACAGTGAGATTCTGTGAGAAACACTGAATGCATCCAGAACTGATGGTGATCAGTGCAAACAGTCCTAATATAAAAACTGTTGCTGTGAGAGTCGCTGAGTAAAGACACAGTGAAAAGGGAGACTGGAAAAGAGCACAACCTCTGATCTACAGCTTTGAATAGAATTAACAACCAGAGTGCAACACTGTTCTGTCCTGTTGTTAGGTTTGATTGAGTCGTTAACAAGCAGGACTTTGTGATTTAAATGTAGTCTTTGCAAACCTCTCACCTGTATGTAAAAGAAATCTATTTGTAAGAACCAAACTGAGACAGACTTCAGGGTCTTCAGCCTCCTTACAATATAAGAGACAGTACACACCATCACCTTCTGTTGGATCACATTTTGAAGCAATTGTCCTATTTTGTTTTTTTTTTTATGCTCAGTTGTAGCGTAGAGCAAAAGACTGGATTGTTGTCAGGTTTGCAGCTTACATAGAACGTTTTATTGCTATTAGCACACACAAGGGATATATTTGAAGGAATTGACTTTATCTAGATCTTTTTAAATTTGCAACATCTACTTCTTTGTCCAGTGGCCACTAGTAGTTTCTTTGGGTTTACGAACTTTTTGTTTGTTTTTTTTCTTGTTGTTGTTTATTTTTTATTTTGATGGAGGAAACAGATTCTGTCATTGCTCATTGGTCTTTGCTTATTGCCCCGTACAGTACATGGTACACAGCCAATGTAACACTGCAGTGAAGACACAGAACACTTACAGTGTTTGTGTCATCCTTCTGTGTGTCCAGGTACATGTGCGTTCACACATGTATGTACTCAAGTGTGTTAATGGGTACACACAAGTTAGCTAAAGACAAGAATAATGAGGCATAGGAAGTACGTTTGTGTGTGTGCGCGCAGGCGTGCATGTGCGTGCACGTGCGACTGTGTGTGTGTGCCTGTGTCTGTGTGTATCTGTGTGTGTGTGTGTGTGTGTGTGTGTGTGTGCTGGTAATTGGAGCGGTTCGACTTGCAGAGCAATGACTCTCGTTATGAATGGATTAACTGAATGGAAAGCTGTGTTCAGGCTGAGACGGATAAAGCTGCAGGGGAGGATCATAATGAACAAAATGAAAGACAGCGAGGTCAACTTCATTTTTCTTTAGGGAACTAAACAACACGCACTTGCTTGCACACACAACCACACACATTCACATCCTGCACAGCTGTGCTCTGTACCCCTCCCGTTGTGAGGGGCTGAAATTCCCTTTTCACACGCTGGAGACCTTTCTCAGGGGCGTTGCAGCTTCTGTACCAGCGTTACTGGTATGGGTCTACGATGGGAGCTGTTTGTGTCTCCTGCACACTGTAACATGGAGACAAGTGGCGAGAGAAACTTCATTATGAGCCTTAAGATGGCAGCAAGCAAGCAAACAGTGTTGGAGTGTAACTTAGTAAACTTACTCAAGTATTGTAGATGAGTACAGTTTTGTGGTGCTTTAGCGTGCTCTAATCCAGACAAAGTGGTGCCGTGTCTGCAGCAGTGCAACATTACAGCTGACCATCACAGTGAAGAGGGAGCTCAGCCAAAGGGCAACGCTCTCGATTTGATTTACAGCCCTCACCTGTGGTCATGAAAGCTGGACTGTGAAGGGAAGAATGACATTGCAAATACAAGTTGCCAAATTGAGTTTCCTGCGTAGGGTGGTGAGGCTCAGCCTTAGGGTTGGGGTGCAGAGCTCACAGTCGAGTCACAGCTCCTTCACTTCGAAGGGAGCCAGCTTATAGTTTTCGAGGGTTAGGATGCCTCATGGGCATCTTCCTTTGGAGGTTTTCTGGGCATGTCTAACTGGGAGGAGACCCCAGAGTAGACCCAGAGCTTGCTGAAGGGAATACAGACACATTTGGCTGGAAATGCCAAAGGATCCCCCAGGAGGTTCTGGAAAATGTTAGCGGGCAGAGGGACTCTGGAATGCCCCGCTTAGCTTGACACCGCAGCAACCAAGCAACCAAATAAGCAGAAGATAAAGAAATGGGGGGAAAAAAGACGGTACAAACAGTAACAAACCAATCCTGTCAACTTTCAGGGTGGGGCTTTCTTTATTATTATTCAGAATTTGTTTCCAGTTCGAACGTGTGTGGCCAAATGTACAACTTGCTTTTGTGTAGCCAGAGTCGTTTCACAGTGTTTGAGCAGAAGTGTAGGTGAGCTGGTGTGCAGCGAGTAAGGAGTGATTCCTCTTTTATTCAGTCACATCAGACTACACGCTGAATTTTTAGCACCATGGGAATTCCCAACACATAATGTTGCCCTGTTTATCAGTTTTTGTCAGCAGGTAATTTACTCACAACAATTGTCCCATTCTTTATTATCGTGGTTTATTCTTTTGTTGCAGAGAACCAATGTCACTAAACAAATCGTACCTCACAGCTTCCATGTAGTGTGAAGAAGAGATGTGTAGTTAGGTTATTTAAACACAGAAGAATAACCTGCATCTGGTCCACACAGCGAGCACCATAGATTAGACCCTGCACTAGTATCAGATGTGCACTCAGCCATCAGAGTTTTTATCTATCTCTTTCCTTTCTATCCATTCGCTCATCGCTTCTCACTGCAAATGAGGTTTTACAGAATGTGTTGTGAATGTGAATGTGAGCTTCATTACCAGTCTTCTCCTGTCCACTGCAGAGTTCTACGAGGAAATCCTGTCGCTGGCATTTGGCCTCACCTGTCAGACGATATCCCCCCAGATGTGGCAGCTGCTTGGCGTTCTTTATGAGGTCTTCCAGCACGACTGCTTTGACTACTTCACAGGTATCTCAACAGCACAGTGTGATAGTTTGTCATTAACAGCCACCTGCACCTGGTGCTTGTTGTTCTGGTTTTCACATTGCACATTTAATGTCAGAGAACTATTTATGGTGTCATTTTGAAATGTCACTTGAGTCCATGGAGGACAAATGATATAAATAATCAGTCTAGTTTTCTTGGAATTTTCTCTGATCTTGCTGGGCTTGTACCTCTCAGTCTATTTTTTTTTTTTAACACTGCCCTCCTGCAGTCTCTGGTCTGATTTTCAGCTGCTGCAGCTCTGACCCCTCATTTTCTTCACTTATGTTGAATGTCTGCTTGTTTGTGACTCAGAAATGCACCCATCTATACCGTCTGTGTGCTACATGTGAGAAAGCATGACACCCTGCAGTAGCAGAAGTTGAAAGACACATGAAAAGATGACGTGCTGTCTACAGTGTTTTACGGATTGTGTGTATTTCCTGCATCATACAAATTATATGATAATGCAAATATACAATAACTGATTCTTGTTTAGATTAAAGCAGCCTAATTTGAAAAAATCAATTAGAATTCACGATTCATTATGTAGTGATAAAAACTAGCTGTGACAGAGGTTAGCATTGACGAACTGCGGCTCCCAGCACTGTTACCTTTGGTAGGTGTGGCAAAACTAACCAGCTAACTCGTTAGCAAATTAATACTGTTTGGAGTCAGGTCAGAGAAACAGTTTACCGATGAAGAAGCTGTCGGACCTGCACATGGAGCTGACGGGGCTTACACATGGTCCTGAGGGAAGTTGGTCGGAGCTTGACGTTTCAAGTCTGACATGATAGTTACAGCAGTTGCACTATCGATTATTGCTTAAGCCTTCTTTTTGCTAAGCCTGAGTGGAACATTACCTAATGTCAAAAGCTCGTTTGATTCTACTGTAAAAACTTAGACAGCGCAGCTTGTAACACTAAAAGCAATGGCATGCCGCATACATTTACTTTACAACCAGTGGACTTTCAGGAAGGAGAAAGTTATCAATAAATAAGTGTATCAGTAAATGGGCTGCCTATGTGAAATACACACCGTCACATGGTTGCAGTATTGTTATGGCTCTTGTCACTTGTATGAGCAACGTCCATCTCTTTTCCAGCAGCAGGTTGCTTCTATTTTTTTCTGCACCGACCAAAGCAGCTGTTTCCTGTCCACGTACATTAACATTTGTGTTGCTGTATACTTACGGTTTCAGAGGTGGAAACACGCCAGTGGGATGAATTATTTTCAAGGAAACATCTTTCTTTGTCTTGCTCTTTTCACTTTCTCTTTACGTAGTTTTCTGAAGGAACGCTGCCTGAGAACAGTCCTTTATTGTCTTTGTTATTTCTGTCTACGTCGACTGCTTCTTCTTTTTGTTATTGAGTTGGAATGCTTTGCAGTCTGTGTTCTTGTTCCTATTGTACAGCTCCAGTCATTTTCTGATTTCAGTGTCAGTGAAATGGAGTTTTCTTTTTTGTTCCTTCATAGTTGCAGTAAATCAGAAATGACAATTGAGAAAGACAGTGTGAGCTTATTAGTGTATTCTAGTGATGCACGCTGCATGGCAGCACCCATAGTTACATGGGCATTCACATGAACACGCAGCACTAACACTGGCCGCAGGAGGACTGGACTTATGTTTGGTCAGTGCAACCGACGTAAAGTAGCACCAGACTTAGTAAAGGTCAGTAGGCGCAACCAGCTGATGACAGAAGTCCAGTCAGCGGTTGGTTAAATTAGGTAACCTTGGGATCACAACTCCCTCCAAAGTGAGGCCAAAGTACTGTGGAAATAAACGCTGCAAGTCTTCTCAGTAGTGACCCATAGTCAGAGACGTGGTTGAGGTCCCGTCCCCTACTTGGCCCAAATCTGAGCACACACCCCTTGAATCTTGATCTGCTGCAATCTGGACCGTCTTGGACTGACTCTGACGCTCTCTGTGTCATTTTCTAGTTAGCAGCTCGTCATCTAGTCATCTAGCTATAAATGAATTACTTTTTAACCATTGAAGGGTTGTGGTCTTAGCTTGATATGATACCAGGCAGGAGGCGGGACCCTCATACCACACCTCTAACTCTGATCAGTGGTGCTGTAAATGACATACCAACTGCAAAATGGCCTCTTCTGGAACATTGTGGCTTCCCTCTGAGGACCCATCATGTGGGTTGTCTGATGAGTGTGTTCCATCGTGACAGTTTTACTCACCAGAGAACTGAATCATAACACAGGAATGACCCAGACATTAATGCGTTTCAAAAAGTTGCTGAAGCTGATGATTGGTTGTATTCACAGATATGATGCCTCTTCTGCACAACTATGTTACCGTGGATACGGACATGCTTCTGTCCAACCCGAAGCACTTAGAGGTCATCTACAGCATGTGTAAAAAGGTCAGGCTCCAAACACTTTCTCCTGCTGCTCACCGTTCACACATGTCTGAGCTAAGATCCAGTTTTCCTCGTAATGCTGCCGCTGGCTACTGACTGGTAAACAGCTTCCTGACTTCTCCCCGCTGTAGGTGCTGACCATAGATGCAGGTGAGGATGCAGAGTGTCATGCTGCCAAACTGTTGGAGGTCATCATCCTTCAGTGCAGAGGGCGAGGCATTGATCAGGTCAGAAGCATCTCCACACAGTACACACCTTTTTTTGTATGTGATTCACTCACACAGTGGTTTCAAGCCTCACGCAGAGGTGTTTTCCCAGAAGATACATCATGCTTTCTGTGATTTTGTGTCATTTATGGAGTGTTATGATATCTATCTTAAACATCATCAGAGTTAGAAAACATGAGTTGAATGTATATAATTCAAAAACTCAGACGCACGTGTAGTTTCATGTTTGAAACAGAAGCTGAACGGAGCGTCTGCAATGGGCCACAACTGTAACTCATACAAAGATGTGTCAGCAGTGCCCAGAGTACAGGTTTACATTTGGAAATTGGCATGTGTGCTGTGAACTTTGATGCTGGTAACTAATAGAAACAGATGTTGGTAACGCTGTTCAACACAGTGTCAGTGTTTAGCTGCAGCCTGATTTCGCTCTCTGACTCGCCTGCAGTGCATCCCGCTGTTCGTGGAGGCCGTGCTCGAGCGTCTAATGCGGGGGGTGAAGTCCAGTGAGCTCCGGACCATGTGTCTGCAGGTGGCCATCGCTGCTCTGTACTACAACCCAGCCCTGCTCATCCACACCATGGACAACATGCACTTTCCACACAACCCCCAGCCCATCACTGCCCACTTCATCAACCAGTGGATGAACGACACCGAGTTCTTCCTGGGGTGAGGAGGGCGTCTGTTGCTTTTAAGTAGTCATACAACCGCCAATGAAGAACCCAGTGTGAGAACAATGAAGGTTTCTATGTGGTGAATTTGATGTTGTTAGAGAGGAGACTGCACCTGGACGAGGACATAGAGAGGACAGGAAAATGGCGCTTGTTGTCCTCTCCAACTTTCACCAGATAGCGTTTGTATTCTCTAAGTTTGCCAGCCAGTGTTTTGGGATTGATCAGAAGTACCTACCCTGGAGTTGGCTTTTTCCCTCTAAAGCAGCTCTGAAAGAGGTTCTACAGGGGCCTTCCTGCAGTAAGAACATGTACAGGTTCAGATGGCCTGTAGATCCCAGCAGTGGTAAATGGCCTGATGATTTGTAAAGAACCTGCACGAGTAACTTAAATGGTCCTGCTGCTATTAGAACTTCCGTGTTGTCTATATTCTCAGCCCTAAAGGTGGACTACCTGTTTTGTCCTACTTTAGGTCTTAATGCTAAGCTGTTGTTGCCACTTCCTGACTCCAGTTCTGTTATTCACACAGACATAAAAGACTGATCTGTCCTCTCATCTCACTCTCAGAAAAGGAGAAGGTGTTTATTTTTTGTTTAAGAATCTTTATTAGCTGTGTGCCTTCATAACCTCTTTCAGACCTGCACCTCTTTTCTCTAATCGTGGTTGTTTTATGTCTGAGTAAACACCCTGTTAGTGTTTTGTGAGTTCCTAAAAAAAACATCTTTTAAGATTTGCCCTCATTCTCACCCTCTGTCCTCCCTCCTCTACCCAGACTGCATGACCGTAAGATGTGCATCATCGGCCTGAGTGTGATCATAGAGCTGCCTAACCGGCCGGCCGTACTGGAGGGCGTTGCTGCCCAGATCGTCCCCTCCATCCTGCTCCTTTTTCTTGGCCTCAAACACCTCTATGCCTCACGCCTAATCAACAAACCGGATCTGCTGGCCCGTGCAGGGGCTCAGGATGAAGACCAAAACGGTGAGAAGAGCTCAGGAATGAGGAGGACAATTTGAAGGAAGTGGGAGGACAGGGTGGTTGGCAGATTTTGGGAAGCTAAAGCAGAATCAATGCAGACAGAAAGGAAGCAGTAAGGCTGAGCAACGATAATAAAAAGAGATTCTCCTTTTTTGCCAGCATTGGATCTTCCACTACTTGAATCTTGATTCAGTGCTGAGTTCAAATTAGCTGCACCACATTTACTTTCTCACCCCCACCGGCTATACTTTGCTTCAGTCAAGCGTAAAGGAATTAGATCCCTAAACCTTGTCTAGTGCTTGTGGGGCAGACTGATAAATTAACTTAGTGTTACGGTAGCGGCTAAGGGTTTCTCCTGCGGCCTGGTGTTTAAAATGCATTGATTTCACCGCATTAAATGCTTTAGAATAGTGCATTCTTAATAGAAAAGCTTACATTTTCTTCTAGTGAAAAGTGGAACGTGTTCTGGTTTACAATATGCTTTGAGTCATGAAGAAAGATTATATTAAAGGACAGTGTTATGGAGCAAATATGGAGAGGTAAAGCAGCATTTTTCAGCCTCACACAGCTGCTGCTGCTGTTGTCAGGTATTTATTTTGACTTTTAAGTTCACGGTGGGACTACTAGTAAACAGCTCATGGACATGGATAGCTTTGAACAGCTTTTTGAGGTCAGCCTGTCGCGGGATATTTTCTTGTATCAAAATCATGAGCTCTAAAAACAATCTGTGAAACATGATCACACGTCTCTCTGCTGATTCCACATACAGACGGAAATCAGCTCACGCACACGCTCAATTTATTCAGCAGCTACGCTTTGGTCAAATGACCTTCATCAGGCAATTCAAACAGAATATATATAAGACATACATACAGAGAATAACCAACCAGTCCTGGAGACCGAGTCATCAATAATCCCATAAGAAACCAGAGTGGGGAAGCAGCAGGCCAGAGCAAAGGTATGAATAAGAATAAGGCCCATTAACAACACATTAAGCCAGGTGGTTATCATCAAGCCAGACAGGTAGGTTTGAAACACAACTGATATAGAACATTACTACAATGACAGTATTATTTTTAATTTAAATAACAAGAAAATAGACGTAATAACACTAGTTGTGTAATAGTTTCAGGCGTGGCATGTAATGTCACTGGCTGTGGATGCACACATGGACAGCTGCAGAAAATGAAAACAATGGAAACGGTTTGGTCTGCTCAGTTTCTTTGTTGTAGCAGCACAATGTCGGGCAGGACCTCAGAACCATGGCCCCTGTCATGAAGCTGAAGATACACACCATGCACACCAAAGTCCATGGTTCTGAGTCCCATCAGCATCCCCTCATGCTCTCTCTTTCCTTCATTTCTCTCCATTAACACAATTTAATAAAGGCACATAATGTCACAAAGCTATTTAAGACGACCACTTTAGATGTAGTAATACTACAGAGAGCTCATGAACGTTTCTGACAACATAACACAGTTTGTAGCTACTGACATAAAGTCAAAATACAATTAAACAATACAAACAACACAGGCGACGAGGAAACACCAGATAAGATCAAATAAACCAGATAAATAAATAAACAAAATAAAATAAGAAACGATAAAACTGAAGTAATGAACAGTGCAATAAAAAGATTAAAATATGTGAACAGGTGAATAAATAAAAAGCTTAATAAATAAAATGGGTTTAAATTAAATAAATACATAAAAACTAGTGAATAAATAAAATCTATCAAATCATTCAAAATCCTGAATAGAAGGGGAGGTCTTAAGTTTGCTTTAAAAACAAACAAACCAAACAAACCAGTTGAGTTGAAGCTGTGGGCTTGGCGACGCTGTGCTGTCAGGTTGTCTACCTGCTGCTCCTCTGACACTGTGAGTGGAGCCTCCTGAGCTTTTCCTTGTTGCTGGCAGTAGATTTCCACATTTCAGAGACTTAAACAGTGTTTTTTATAACAACTCTAGCAGCTGCATCTCCACAAGGATATTTTACAAAGAAAATAAGTTTTATATTTTTATCTGAGCAAATTTGTTGTTATTCAATTCTGGAAATTCAGGAATACAAAAAGGCAAATTATTGTTTTTACATTCGCTTTTTAATTCAAGCTAACGATTCAAGGTTTACGGGAACAATGATTGGCCACGCCCACAAATTTTAGTGCAGCTTATGTCAAAGTTCAACACATGCCTCAGTCCAGTCCACTGCACCGCCACATACACAGTGAGCCCGCTGCTTTTTTCATTTTCTTTCCACTAAAATTCAAAATAACAACCCATAATTCACCTGATTCTTGAACTAACTTGATCAAAGCTTTGATCTTGGTGCTGCGTTGTTTTGTATCCCGGCAGAGGAGATTCCCAGCGATGAAGACGAGGTGAATGAGAACCGAAACGCCATGCAGCAGCAGTCAAGCAGGCCGGCAGGACAGGGAGGAGAGGACGACGATGAAGATGAAGATGACTACTGGGACGACGACGGCTTCGAGGGAACGCCCCTGGAGGAGTACAGCACGCCTCTGGACTACGACAATGGAGAGGACGAGTATCAGTTCTTCACCTCCGCCCTGCTCAGTATGTCAACACTTTCTCTGCATGACAGCACCTTCATTCTTTACTGGACCTTTTAAGAAAAGTATGTGTGTGTGTGTGTGTCAGGGGTCCAGAATACGGATGCAGCGTGGTACCAGTGTTTGACTGCTCCGCTCAGCGACGACCAGAAGAAACAGCTCCAGGAGATCTACAGCATCTCACAGCAGAGGAGGAGCACCGCCGCCAAGGGCCAGTGGTGAGAGGAGCAGAACGAGAGATGAAGAGACAGAGGCAGGGGGAGAAATGTGCTCAATACATTCAGTTCAAGATGTCTCTTAATTGGAACATTGGCCTGAAGGACTGTTCTGTCACACTTTTCATAGTTTGAAGTGAAGATTTCCAACTTTCTGGCACACTTTCCCCACACTCAGCCGAGGCTAGGGCGGGACTTCTACACTCAGTCTGAAACCAGTCCAAGCTTGCCACAAATCTGACAGTTTAACAAATAATTTTTGCTCACACAGCTGTTTGAGCTACTGTGTTGCAACAGCTGATGGAATTTATATCTTGCTTCAAGGAGATTCAGGCGGACAAAAACCTTACTTTAAATCTGTTTCGATGCAGATTATTTCTGCTTTAAGAGGAAATTAGCAAAACATGGAGCTGAAAGCAGAGCTCCGTTTATTTAAATGTGAAAGTGAAATAAAAAGGTATTGTCTCTAAAATAATAGGCTAACGATGATTGTTATAATTGAGCAGCACTAGTCTCTTGTGTGAAAATATTTCAGCGACAGAATGGATGATGTACAACAGAAACAGTTTCTCCATCTGCAGCGTGTTTCCATCATGAAGGCATCACGACTGAGGAGTTTGACCATTTGAGTGACGTGTTAAGTGCAGAGCCAGGTCTGAAAGTCATGCAAAGCAAAAAAAAAACAAAACTTTTTGGATGCCTCTGCCAGTGTGAGACCACACGAGAAAGGTTCTAAATGTTTTGTACTCAAAAAAAAAAATGTTTACAGTAAAAAGTCATCATCCATCCATCCATCCATTATCTACACACCGCTTAATCCTCACTGGAGTCTATCCCAGCTGACTCCGGGTGAAGGCAGGTTCACCTGGACAGGTAACCAGTCTATCACAGGGCTACACTTAGAGACAGACAACCAAGCACACTCACATTCACACCTACGGACAATTTACAATCACCAATTAACCTCAGCATGTTTCTGGACTGTGGGAGGAAGCCGGAGAACCCGGAGAGAACCCACGCTGCACGAGGAGAACATGGAGACTCCACGCAGAAAGATCCCAGGTGTCCTCACCGGGACGCCAACCGGCGACCTTCTAGCTGCGAGGCAGCGGTGCTAACCACTGAGACACCTTACAGCCTTTAGTCATTTTTCAGCTTTTGTAAAAAAAGAAACAAAAAAACAATTTTAGATGAACTGCCTAAGAAAACGACCCCAGACATCCTACAGTGATTATTCTTTCTACACTGACTTATTCAAATTATCTGGTACAACATTGCTGAACAACATACACCTGTTATGCTTTTTTTGTGTTTTTCAGTCTGCACTCTTTTGTGCCATTTAGGCTTCAACAGGAGACATCTAGCGACAGAATAACCAGAGAAGCCTTTTAAAGCCTCCCGTCATGTTCAGTCTTAACGTCACTCTGTTGTTATGGTTTCAGAGCGCTGAAGACCGAGTCAGAGGAAGGGGTCAAAGAAGAGAGAAGCTGATCTGACCTGACCTGAAGTGGATTTTAGTCCAATCTGAGCAATCTCAGTCCAGATCAGACCATATCAGGCTTAATGGATCCTGCCAAAACCAGGTCCCAGGAAACCATTGGAAGTGGATGGAGTAGCAGGGGCTGGGTTGGAGCGACGGCAGATGGGGACCTGGTGCACTGAACAGGGCCCCTACTGGAATATTCCTTTCACCAGGATAAGACCGCTGGCGTGTGTGTGTGTGTGTGTGTGTGTGTGCGTGTGCGTGTGCGCGTATGTATGTGTGCGTGTGTGTGTGGACTCCAAACAAGGTCTGCATTATACATTATAAATATAAATGTTCTTGACCAGCAAAATTCGTTCATATTTTTGTACAGTGCAGTCCTTCAATCTGTGACTAAGTAACTGTGTTTGCGTGCGTGCGTGCGTGAAACTGTAAAACATAAAAACACATCGGAGTGTGTGTTTGTACGTACTGTAAGCTCTTGTCTTCGTCTCTTTATAGCTGAACACTTTTTATCATCTCATGAAGCGAGGGCCTACGCCGAGCAAGAGAAGTCCCATTTCTGTCAGGGTGCCTTGTATACAGACTGCAGATGGACAAGAAGGAGGTCAACGGCCTCCGACTGTCATGTCACACGTGTGAAATGTAAAATGGGAGAAGGTTCTCGGAGAAGCAGTTTTTTGTTGTTGTTGTTGTTTGTCTGTGGGTTTTGTTTTTGTAACATTTTTCAGAACTAATTTAAGAAAATCATAAAAGTTGTAACATTTTTCTGAGTTGTTCTTGTTCTTCCATCTTTCTTTGATCGTTCTTTCCTTTACTAATCGTGTGGTGTTTCGTTGTGCTAATGCTAACAGGCATCTGGCAGTCCCAAATGTGCTGGTTGAAAAGGTACATGTTAAACTGTGAGCATATGCAATGGGCAAAAATTGTGTGTTTTCTCTGTGTTCATTTTTTGTGATAACGTAGGGGAAACCAATCAATACCTTGCAGGTGGGAAAATTATAGTTCATCATTTTTTTTGGTCACAAAGTGTAATGCTCCCTTAATTTCAGCTACAAGGAAATGGAAACCAATGACTGCCTTGATGGCACATTTGTATTAATATAATACCTTCATATCTATTTTATGGCAACACAAAGCAGTGACGTGAAGGTGGACAAAAACTAGCCTGCCTTTATTTCTGTCACAAGTTAGTGGAGACCAAAAGCTCCCTCAAAGGTAAATTTAAAAAAAGAAGGATAATACCTTCATTTATCACATTGAAGGTTGGAAAAGTATATTTCACTATTTTTTAAAACAAAGCAATGCTAGCCCAATTTCTGTTACAGCAAAACCAAAGCAAGGGTTTACTAAATTAATTTCTGCCACATGATAATGGAAAGCAACGGCTGCCCTGATGGTACAGTAGAAATGTGATTGTTTCTTACAAGGAAATCTAAATCAATGAAAACACCGAAGGTGGGAAAAAGTATACTACTTTGATGTCTGTCACAAATTAAAGTAAACCAATGGTTGCCTTAAGGGCACATTAAATATGTATCCTACCTTTGTTATTTGTTACTAGAAAACAATGGCAGCCTTAAGGATTGAAGGAAGTTTGAAATACGCAATACTGCCTTAATTTCTATCAAATTGAACCCAGTGGCTGCAAGGATTTGAAAAGTACCGAACTACAAGAAGAGGCTTCTGGTGTAGACATTAGAGCTGTAATGTACGAGGTGTGTCAGAAAAATTCCAGGACTGGTGTCACAAAAGATATATTTCAAACTACAAACTGGGAGTTTTCCCCTTCAGACGATCAACCAGCTCGTCTACAAAGAGATCCTGCAGCGTTTGCTTTGTTCAGTGTACGAGAAGAGGCAGAGTTGTGTCAGGACCAGTGGAGGCTGCTTCACCATGACAACCTGCTCACAACGTCCTGAGCATCCCACAGTTCCTGGATGAGAAGAACATGGCCGTGCTGGAGCAACCTCCCTACTCACCCCACCTGGCTCTGTGGGGTTGTTTCCTCTTCCTCAAGCTCAAGGGGGTCATCAAGGAGACCCGTTTAGAAGACATGGACGACATCAAGATGGCTGTGACGACGGAGCTGAGAGGATCCTGGAAGAATCCTTCCAGGAGTGCATGGAGGCGTGAAGGGAAGGCTGGGGGAGTGTGTTAGACTCCAGGAGGATTACTTGGAAGGAGAAAACTGGTAGTTTGTAGTTTGGATTTGAAATATAACTTTTGTGGCACCGGTCCTGGAACTTTTCTGATGCACCTCGTACAGTACAGATGAAAAAAATAGAAAATGCACGCAATTATTAGGCTAACTGTCTTCCTTAAACTTACTTTTTCCGAACTAATACAAATCTCTCAGTCAATCCAAAATGTAATAGAATCTCAAATCTGAATGTTTAAAGAAGGAAAAGGAATCCAAAGTGTGCACAATTATTACGAACTTACTGAAAGAGCCAACTCACATTTCTTCTCAATGATTATCAGTCGACCTAATAGTATAAAATGACAAAAGAATATTTACCAACCAATATAACCGCCCTTCTTTTCAGTAAGTACCGTGAGCCTTCCATCCACGAAGTCTGTCAGCTGCCAGATCTGTTCACAATCAGATTTTGCTGAAGCAGCAGCAGCCACAGCCTGCTGAATGTTGTTCAGAGGTGTCTTCTCTTGCTGTCAGCTTCACTTTTGAGTAGGACCCACAAGTTTTTAATCAAAACTGACAGAAGGGTTGAGGGTTGGTTTTTCAGTCTGTCTTTAACACGAAAAGTCCAAGTAGCTCATATTAGTGATGGCAGCCCACACTGATAGCCCTCCTTCCCTTTGCTGGTTCCTGGCGTTCATTAGTGATCCAGCCACACGACCAGCTAGCTAATCCTTCAAGAGCTGCTTTCATTTCATCTGTCTCTAAAACCTTTGAACTTCCGTCTTCAGGTATTTCTTGGCCCAATCTTGATACTTTAACTTGCAATTCTTCTTCACTGGTGATCCTTCCTGATAGTTTAACGTTTCATTTTTTTCAAGTCTTTTGCAGTGGGTTTGCACCTTTTTTTTTTCTCCATGTGTTTTTTGACGGTGTCGACCAATCCCAACAAAAAAAAGTTTGCTTGTCCAGTGGTCATGCCTCGTTGGTTCAACTATTTCAAGAGTGTTGCATTCACAGTTGACACCGTGTGGGCTTATGACATAAATGGAACTGCTCAATAGCCTACTCTACATATTTTACAAATACCAAACTGCCCAAGAACAGTAAAGCAATGTCTGTGTCTGCCATCAGTCTCGTCTCTTCTTTTACGTCTCAATAAGGAAAAGCCACACCAATAGTGAAGCATGTTTGTCCTTGCAGTATGTCCCTCTCTCTTTTAGGACTGTAGTCCTTCCTCTGAACACTGAGTTTCTTTTTTCTTTTGGAGCCTTAGAAACTTTACTCTCAGTCCCCAGATTGTGAACACAGTCTTCTTCTTTGGCCTCCATTCCTTGTGAGTTGGTATTCCCTGTGTGTTCTGTTGCAGTGCTTCAACTTCTCATGCCTGTGTATGTGCAGGACAACAAAGAGCAGCCAAGCACACAGGAGATGTCCTGTGGTGGAGCGATCTTCTCCTTTTCACTGGTCATGTAGCACTGCAGTGGTGGAATCCATTTTTCCATTATTAGTTTTCTGTCTCTGCCTCCCCATGTTTCTCCCTCTCTGAGCTTTGTAATCATTTGTCCTGCATGCGAATGACACCCGCTGGTGGAAAATGTATTTTGGCTGACATATCTAGGCCAATTGAGGATGCTGTTGGAACACTAACAAGAATTCCCACACCAGGAGAACACAGCCGGAGGAAGAAATGTGGTGGATGTTGTCAAGAAAAGACTTGCAGAGGGGAGAGTAGAGGCCAGGGAAAAATTGCCACATTTCACAAACACTGCAAGGGTTGAGTTGATTTGCAGCCCTAATCAGTTAGCTTGTTGTGCAATTGCTGTTAATTGTTGATAATAAAATGTGG